AAATTTAATAATCTCATTTTTTTAGAACCCAAGAATTTTGAAAATTAGAAAAAACATCCAATTCTTTAATAAACTATTATTTTTCAGGAAATAATATGTACATATATTTAAAAGAAAGCCAATAACATGTAAATAGTTTTTACTAAATTAGATCTTTTATTTTATTTAGGAATTTTAGTAAAATTCTCTTAAATAATTAGATTATGATAAATTAAAAAATAAATTTAATTGTACCTCACACTTCTTTTAAATATACTTTATGTGTACATATTTTACAAAAATAAGTATGTCTATGTAAATAATATATAGCATTATTGTTAGAGAATTTTTTAGATAAAAACAAATGTACATATATATATCCTCTATTGTCCTTTAGTTATTCTCTCCTTACTTTCAAAGAGTTTTCTTTTTTCTCTCTAAAACTCAAATTCTATACACAAATTTTCAAGTCTAATAATCACCAATCATACAGCTACAAGCACTTTTGATAAGAGCATCCAATGCATGGTCACTACAGAACCTGAACAAACAATGACTAGTTAGAGAGCCTTGTCATCCACCGTCTCCATGCCCAAAGCCTCTTCAGATGTTGTCGCCAGCACTGTAGTGATTTATGTACTATGCGGTGGAAGAAAGCACGTGCATCCAGATTCCAATTTAATGTGGTGATCAAGCTCGGGCAGTTAATGAAAAAAATGATCGTGCAGTATAGACTTATGTATAGTAGATAATATTTTAAACTGTAAACTAATGATTTATATGGTCACAACATTTAGTACCTTGTGAGCTTTTTAAATGATTGTATACTCGTACAAACTTTACTTTTTAATATTAACTTAACTTATTACTGATATTATAAGTTTAATTAATGTAATACATTTGTAAGTTTTTTGAGTTAGCTTCAACTTATTACTAACCTTGTACGAAATTCTAAAGGATAATTATACATAAAACAATTATTCCAACACATGGTCTATTAGATCTTAAAAATGAAAAATTCATCCTCCTTGAATGCTTTTCTATTCAAGTAATCAATTTGTTCTCTTTTTCTCTTAGCTCACAGTTAACTTTTTTTTCCTCACATTATGTTGTCTCTTTATTTTCACCTAAATTTTTAGGTTTAAAACTAAGTTTTAGCCTCAAAATTTCCTCACATTATGTATAAATGGATGCATATAAATATATATATATATAAAAGATGGAATTATCGGCTAATATTAAGTAGGTGGAATTAGTGACATAGAGATGCAATTAGCAATTCAATGTGTACTATTCTAAAACGTCACGTTTTATGATAAAATAAACTACTATTAAGTTATTGATAACTTTTATAATTTTGTGACTTAGTTTACTCAATTAAGTATCTATAATTTATCATATGACTTTAATAGGTAGAAAGAATACTCATAATAAGATCTCTTATTTGTATAAGATTAAAGAATCATTCAAGTTTTCATTTGTCCCATGACTTTTATGGGAATACGTACAAGATCTCCTATTTGTAGAGAAGTACAAAATCCAATACTACAACTTGTTTTAGACCTAAACAACAGATCAAGGCTAATTGGCGAAAATAGCAGTTCTATCGGGGCTAGTTCATTACCTGCACAAGGTGTAAAAAAGACCAACGCTTTCACCTCCATACAACTAGGGATTACAGGCTCTACCATGATGTTTTGGCTAATAAAAGGTGGAGGAGCCCCGACTGGCCTTATGATAGGTAAACTTTTATCATTATTTGGGTTGTATATGTATATATTTATGTGCAAATCCACTACATGTTATGCTGAGTAATGTGTATATATGTGTTTCTAAAAGATAAACTGTGATGCTGATGAAGAAAGGGTAACTCGCAAAACTTGCAGAGGGTGTACAAGAGATATACAAATTGCAATTTAAGCAAAACAAGTATAAATATCTCGCATCACATCGAACCAAAACCCTAGCCTCCAGCCTCCAGCCTCCCACCGGAGAAGGGACGCAATCGCTGCCCGTCGCCGCACCGAAGCTACCTCCGATTGCCAAAGAGGGTAAAAATTCTCCTATCCCGTCAAAATTTGATTCTGAGCACCCTCATAGCTAAATCAGAGCAAAGGAATGGCAGGTGAGCTAGAAATTGTAGGCAAAACTCAACGGCATCGCCGCGAGCAAAACCCAAAACTGCTTCCGATGAGCCCCTTTTCGTTTCTTATTTTATGCGATTTTTCCACCATTGTGTTCACCGTTCTGTTTTCTACAGGTTGATCGAAGAAAAATGCCCAGCCGCGAAGGTGAGCTAGCGGAGCAGCCGCACCAGAAAATTCCACCGCCTGTAGGTTTTCATTTTTTAACTTTTTTTGGCCAACAAAGGAACCCTAACGTGTTTTCTCACAAGGATAGGTATAAAACTAGTCGAAACCGGCCAAAACTGACCGAAAAAGGCCAAGCCGAGGTAAACTGCCGTCGCGGACGGTGGTGTTGTCGCCGAAGCACGATGGTGCCGCGGACGGCGGTGTTGTCGTCGGAGCATGGCGGTGCCGCGAATGGCAGTACCGTCGCCAGAGCACAGCGGTGCCGTCGTCAGAGCGCGATAGTGTCGCCATGCCGAAATTTTGAAATATGCCGAAAAAAATTTTTAACACCGATTTTGAATTTTTTAGGGTATTTTTAGTACGTAAAACGTATTTTAATCTCTGCAAAAAATTCAAGAATCTGGGACCGCCAGTAGCATAGTAGAAAATTCGTGTTACAGACACCAATTCGAGTTGGAATTCACTTATTCTCTGCTATGAAATTGAAGTT